ACCAGGCTACCCTCAAAAGTACATTTAACCTACAAAAGAGATGAACATCATGTATCTTCAGAAAATCTTACTGCTGTGGCAAGAAGATGTAACCAAAGTTGAAAGACAAATACCACATGTTCTCACTCTTATGTAGGAGCTAAGTGAGTTGATCTCATGGAGGTCAAGAGTAGAATGAGGACCACCAGAGGCTGGGAAGGGCATGTGTGGTCAGGGGGAATGAGGAGAGGTTGCTTAGTTGATACAAACATAGTTAGAAGAAACAAGTTCTAGTGTTGAATAGCACTGTAAGGTGACTATAATTTACAGTAACTTACTGTGTATTTCAAAATAGGACGATTTGGAATGCTCAACACAGAGAAATGACGAATGTTTGAGGTGATGGATACCCCAACTGCCCTAATTTGGCTGTCACACATTATATGCATTTATCAAACTATCACATATACCCCATAAATATGTATCAATAAAAAAAGTTTAAAATTGTATGTAAACATAAAACATATGTACACAACACACATTGTACATATACATACCCCATAAATATGTAGCAATAAAGTTTAAAATTGCATGTAAACATAAAACATATGTACACAACACACATTGTACATATACATACCCCATAAATACATAGCAATAAAAAGTTTAAAATTGCATGTAAACATAAAACATATGTACACAACACACATTGTACATGTACATATACATATACATGTGCACATGTCCTGTTTCTATAAACATAAAAGCTTCTTTTTAAAAGATTTTTCTAAATTTCTCAAGAGTGTAAATATGAATTTTGTGTATGACATTTTTACAACAAAATTAACAAAACAAAATTTCAAACTTTTATTTTCAAAAGCCTCTTTTCATTACGAATTTGTTTTGAAAAGCATTTACTTTTCCACTTAAAATTTCACCTTTACTTTTAAATGACAGGTTAAGTATTATTACCCCACAATCTAGCTAGGTCATAGCCACTAACTGAAAACAGGGTAGCAAACTTATTATTTTGTAAAACAATACAGTATGTTTACCTTTTTGTAAATAAGCAAACAAACAAAAACTCAAGTCACCTTTTATATTTTTCAACTCTTACAGTGCTGCAGAAGATTTTTAGCTTCATTCTAATTTGCTACCGAAGAGTCTACCATTCAGATAACTGAATGGGAAAGCCATTTACCAGGCTGCCTGAAGTGCAATACTTTGAAATACAATAAAGACAAATGAGTACTCAACTCACTCTTCTCACTTCTTGTAACACACAAGACGCCTGACCATCTGTCAAAAGGACGGATTGCGGGCATGTCAATTTATATTTTACGCATTTGTGAAGCCTCACCTCTGTTTTTTAAGATAAATAATAAATATGACACTTTATTTCCATGCCACAAAGGATTATCTCACACTCTCTGCCCACCTCACATTAGGTCCTTCTGTGTATACAAGGACGAAGGAAAACACAGTTCCTTTCAGAAGCCCTGAATTTAAAAGGGACTGATAAAAATAAACAGTCAGTCTATTTGGAATATTTCCTTCCTAAGGATTCTTTCTCCAGACTTTTTTGGTTTTGTTTTAACATTATCATGCCAAGTCAAACAATAAAGAGCCTGACAAGCTCCAAATTTCCAGACAACTCCAGAAAAGGTTATCAAGGATACAGATCGATTTATAGGGAACTATCGCTCATCTCTACAAATCTTTACCAGAGAATTTAATATATTTTAACCAGATCAAAGCTTCACTTACTTTGATGTTTTTTCTTTTGAGGTATCCTTATTATATCTTGACACTGCTTTTCTACTATTAATACATTGCCTTTTCTTAGAAGTTTTTCTCCTGCTTCCCTGCCTATCAACATTACAGCTCCAAATTCCTATTTTAGCAGCCAGCTATGGCTGCAAAGGCTTCTGTCACAGCCAAGAGCTATCATCCTCCTGCCAAGCTAGCTCCTCACTGGGTAGAGTAATGAATGTGAGTGAAGATCCAAATTTGCTTGCCTGGCACTTCCCTAACCAATCAAATCAATACTAACCTGAGGGTGTGAAATCCTAGAAGGATTTCTAAATCTAAGGTATATTAACTACAGAAATAGAAACTTCTGTTGGCCAAAATACAACCATAAACAAAGTCAAAAAAAGCCAACCTAACACTGGAAACAAATATGCCAAAAAATTTTCAATAAATATGTCAAGGGGTTGTTGTTTGCTCACTAGCAGTTTAAAAACAACAGCAACAAGACTTAAAAAGAGCGATTTCTTATTTATAGACTTATCACATGTTCTGTTTCTGTTTTTAAGACAACCCTGACTGAGTTCCCACCATGCCCACAGCCACCTGCAGAGGGGTTCTTCACACCATACTCACTGTGCCTGGGTCCTCAAGACCCTACCATCTCAGGGGCATCTCATCTGACTGGAGACAATGACTAGCCCAGAAGCAGCCCGGCCCAGCCCCTCTGCTTTGTAGTTCCACTCAGGAGCACTCTATCCTAGATGGAACTCCAGACTTTGTCTTGCACAGTGTAAAGGCAAGATCCACAAAGAAGGGTTGAAACCTTTTCTGTCATAGAGTGATAAATTCTGAACAGGGAACCTACATGTTACAAATAGCTCCACCAAAGTAATCCATTAAACATTAGAGGAAAGCAAAGTTGCAAGCTATGTGCCAAACGTTTGCTTGTATCATTTATTTTGCACACAAAATGCTTGGCATTTATTTTACACAAAAAAGATTTTAGAAATAGGCAGCCCTCAAAAGTACATTTAACCTATAGAAGAGATGAGTATCATGTATCTTCAGAAAATCTTCCTGCTGTGGCAGGAAGATGTAACCAAATTTGAAAGACAAATACCGTGCGTCTCAGTCACATGTAGGAGCTAAGTGAGTTGATCTCATGGAGGCCAAGCGTCGAACAGAGGCCACCAGAGGCTGGGAAGGGCCATTTCTCCAGGGTTCCTTTAATATTTTATAAATCTCAAGAATTCTCAAAAGGCTGAATCCCTTTTTTTATAAAGCTGTCATGATTTATTTTAATCCATGAGGTTCCTCTCCCCAGTGACTGGCCAAATAGGACCAAATGCCCCAGTTAAAACACCCACTTTCCCATACTCTTTTCTTTCTTGGAGCCATACATGGACTCTTCTTTTTCTTTCCTTTTTTTTTTTTTGAGACAGAGTTGCCCGGGCTGGAGTACAGTGGCACAATCTCGGCTTACCTCGACCTGTGCTGCCCGGGTTCAAGCGAGTTTCCTGCCTCAGCCTCCCTAGTAGCTGGGATTACAGGCACCTGCTGCCATGCCTGGCAAGATGGTGAAACCCGACCTCCATGAAAACTTTCTCATTTAAAAAAATTTTTTTTGTTTTTAAAGGATTTTGCTGTAAGCACAAGAAACACTAAGAGAGGTTGGGAGACAGGAAAACACAGATACATCTGGATAAGCTTAAGAAACCAAATTTTAATAGAATCTATAACCTACGTTCCACACTTTCAGAGATGATAACAAAATTTAAAGTTTTCTCAGAAACTTTTTTTTTTTTTTTTTTTTTTTTAGTGGGTAGACAAAGTCTAACTCACTGTCACCCAGGCTGGAGTGCAGTGGCATAACCTCAGCTCAGGGCCATTTCCACCTCCCAGATTCAAGGGATTCTCCTGCCTCAGCTTCCCGAGTAGCTGGGATTACAAGCATGTCCCACCATACCCGATTAATTTTTGTGTTTTTAATAGAGACGGAGTTTCACCATGTTGGCCAGACTGGTCTGGTACTCCTGACCTTGAGTGATCCAGCCACCTAGGCCTCCCCATCAGAAACATTTAATTCAACTACTTTTGAGAGCATGAAGAGGAAACCAAAGCAAAGACCTTGATTCCTGCTGTTAGTGGTAGAACCTAAACATAAAAAGGAAAATCGTCACATCTTGAGGTGCGGTTTCAACTAGCGCCACCGACGTTTGGACTCGTCTTTGTAAATTCCAGACTATCAAACTATACTCCAGAAAACAATTCTGAAAGGGTCCAGTAAGGCACGCCAGAGATAAGGAGCAAGCTAGAAGTGGGGGAAAAAAAACTTAAAGAGCTCCAAAACAACCTGCTTTTTCAAGTCTAGGAGCAAGTATCTATGACACTGGCAGTGGGGTAGAGGTGGAAGAAACGACCCCTGGCCACTCCCCACGGATGGTAAGTAGGCAGCTTCTTTACCATCACACACATGGGGGTCCTACGATGGAGGAGTTCTAAGCTGGCTCTGGAAAAAATGCCGCTTTCGGGCCCCCTGCAGATGAATCCACTGGGTGCCAAATAAAATGTGACTCTTCAAACAATAAATCCCTTCTATCGTATTTACAGATAAATGAAATTCACAACTCGTATGTAAATACTGCTATTCCAAAGCGTGTTTCCAATGATCCAAATGAACCACCTGATGGCACATGTATGTAATCTGTGCAGTATGCAACCCATCTTCCAACAACACTGACATGCCACGACCTTCTGCTAGATGTTTATATGAGAAAGGATATGACGTTAATTAGGAGGAAAATGCCGAGATTGAAATTTTATGAAGTACTCAAATGATGTGCCTTCATTTTTTAAAAAATTGTTTAGAAAATTAATATTGAGATCCTGAACCCAGTAAGATGATTTTATCACTGACTAAATGGATCATGAATGAATAGAAATAGCTTTGGAGCATTATTTTCCAACCTTAAGTGCCATAAAACATAAACCTTTGCCAAAGCAGTTGGCCACTTTAAAAAAAATACTTTTTTTCTGAGCAGTTTTGGGTTCACAGCAAAATTAAGTGGAAGGTACGGGAGATCTCTCATCTACCCACTCCTTCCACAGATGCACAGCCTCCTTGAGTTGGTCAGTTTTTTAAAAGTAAAAAACATGTTCTTTCTGAAGAGAAATGGAGACATTACCTTGATTTCAAAATTCTAACTGCAAAGGTAAAGAACCACCGTTGTGTGTATTTTCATGCATACAATAGGAAAACAAATACTTACCATGTAGCATCCAATAAGGAAGGCAGCATTTGCTTGCTTTCTCTGATCAGAGCTGGTAAAATGAACAATTTTCTTCCTTAACATTGTAATGGACTGCATAAAAATAAACAGCTATTAGTATTTTCTTTTTAATTTCAATTCTTCTACAATTTCATTTTGTAATAAAGATGAATTTCAAATCCCACAATGTATAACCATTCATATTAGCAAGACCTTTGAAAAGATTAATGTTGATACCCAAAAATACCACGTATCTTCCCATAAAAAGGCACATTATGGGGTGAGAATGGACATTCAATTAGAGGGGAGGGGAGGGGACATGAATGGATATATGCTTAAAGCACAGGCTGCCTCTGAAAGAGGAAAGCAAGCATGGTGGGAGAGATCACCTTTCCTTCCGTTTGGTTTTTAAATAAATCTGTCCCCAAAACCTTTAAATTAAAATAAAAAGGCATACAGAATTGTCTGCACTGTTATAAGCTAGGGCAGTGAATAACCAGGGGAGGGGTGTGCAGAGCCAGGAACTGGAAGACAGCACAGAAGGCTGCTGTGGGTGCTGCCAGTGCACTGCTCCTGACCTAGTGAAAAGATAATCATCTATGTATATTCCACTTGTGAAAGTTCACAGAGCTCCAGATCCGTGATGTGTACATATTTCTATATATACGTTAAAAGGGGGTTTTTGTGTGTATGTGTGTATGGGGATGTAAAAAAGTTAAATATAAAATGGGTACAGAATTAAAAAACAAAACAAAACCAAACCACGATTAGTTAGCACATCCCCAGCTGTATTTCATTAACATGAGCAGATGTAGGTTCAGGTCAGGATAAGGAACAGGATATAATCAGCTCAACAAGCACGTATTTCTTGGCTTCTGTAAGTCAGTGTTTCAACGTTCTAGTGTTTCAATGACGAAGGTGTACATATTTTCGTTTAGTTGTTTGCATGGAGAAAGAGATTCAAGTTGATTTAAAAAGTGATGGCAAAAACAAAAACACACCAGCCACTGGGCAGCACAAGCACAAGACACTCTCCATCCAAACTCTTCATGTACCTTTATCACTATTAATTGAATATGCAGTAATATGTCAATCAGATTGGATAGTCAATCAGTTTGCTAGCATGCTACCAACATGCTACAAGTTGTTCTGGTAAATGATTTAAAAAGAAAAAAAAAAAGGACTGATACATTTTTAGTTGACCCAAAGACTTTATAAAAGTCCACAGATGGCTGAGTACAGGCAAAAAAAAAAAAATTTTTTTTTTTTTTTCCAAAATTAAAGCAAAGGAACAAATGTTGGGGGAAGAGAGAATTATTTTTAGCTGCCTAGCCTGCACGAAACAAAAGATCTGCCACTGGCAACTGGAAAAAGGAGGGAGAACCCAAATGCACAAGGCCATAAATAGTTATATTCCTATTTAAGAAAGGCAAAAAAGAAGAGTCTCCTGCTCTGTAGCAATATGTAGTGAATATAGCTTTGATGCTCCAGGAAAAACCATTGCCTTACCCATAAATGTTTAATTAAAGCATGTTAAAATTCCAATTAAAAATAAATTGTATTTCCTATCTGTAGTAGTCTGATAAGCAAAGTTTTTTTGTTTTTTTAAGTGCCCTTCCCAAAAAGCAGTATTTTCTAGTTGAGAATTTATAGTGACTGATGTAGAACTGCTGGTAAGTAGTATGTACACACTTCCTACCATGCATGACCAACAATTCAGCGTTTCACATACATGAACGGGGTCTAAGTTCAAACCAATACAAAGGTACCTGTGTGACTCTCGGTGACACAGCCTTAAGGACGTGCTTCTTGCCCTAGATTCTCATGTACCTTAATCATATGTATTAAGGATCATGTAGCACAATATCATGGGAATTTCAAAATAGGAGAGAAAGTAAAATGAGCCCATCTTCCTTGTTCGTTTGCTAGCACTCTCCATCAAAATGAAGCCCGAAAAAACAACGGCCAGAGCAAGGGAAGAACTTCTTTTGTTAGGTTTCAGTTCTATTAGGTCAGACAATATGGGGTTCACTTCATTAACTGATTCCCACTTTGGCTTTGCAAGTATTTAAGCATCACTAACTCAAACTAGAACCAAATGATCCAAACTTGAACTGTTCTTTCAAAACTCTATAAAACAAACAGATACACTATGATCTTATAAAACAAAAAACCATGTGCATGTCCCAAACACCACTGCAGTGAAAAACATGGCATTTCCTTTTTAAAAATAGAGATATTTTCCTAACTTTTGTCCCCCAGATCGAGCGAATAATGATCATTTAAGTCAAATCTTAAAAACTTTACCTTCAATTTCTTATTTATCTTGCAACAATATCTGTAAACCATTGCCAGATTGAGTGGTCCAAAATCTGCGTAGAAGCTTTAAAAATGAAAGATAAAAACGTGTATGTACATTCTAGATGCTCTGAATATAAATGCCTTTTTTGGGTCAACAAGATCAAATTAAGGTGAGTAAGCACATTGTTACCAAATTGTTAGGGGCCGATACAACTTAAAGGTACTGTTTTACTAGTGGAAGACTATTCTGGTAAATAACGCCTATTTTTAAATGCCACGAGTGCTATAATGCCTAAATCTAACCTCAATGAACATGAACATACTTTCTAAATTTAAAAAGCTGTTTTTCCAAACATATCTCCAAGAGCAAAACCATAATATCTTACTTGGTACACATTTATATCTCGTTGTAGTATAAACATTAGACAAGCAAATCTAAATGTTTACGTTTAGGGGGTTCTCTTTTTTCCTCTAAAGGTTTATTTTATTACCACAGGTGAAAAACAAGCATCCTGTAATCAACAATCAATAAATTTATAATTTCCCCAGACCGTCCCATTTATAACCATACCTTTAGATTCTTCAAAAAAAAAAAAAAAAGTTACACTCTTTTAAAAAGCAATACTTACTTCTCATATTCAAGTTCATTATCTATGCTGAAATAATGTACATTTGATGCACTCTTTGGTCTGCTGTAGAGAATGGCAAAACAAAGGCGATCTGAAATGGAAAAATTGCAATGTTCCTTCCTGCAGGTTATAAAAAATGTTTTATATATCATGACACAACTCTTTTCAGATGAAGTCAATTTTTCATTTTTTTCCATGCATGTTTCAGATGGTAGGGGTGGTAATGGGTAATTACAAAATATTCTGGCTATTTGGGTGGGTAATAATGAGCACATTTTTAAAAGACAAACTGCCTTTAACCTAAGTTTAAAAAGTGGTGGTTTTTCATGGAGTGATGTATTTCTAAACGAACCTATTTTTGTAAAAGTTTAGCTCCCCTGGATTAAGACATTTCAGCAAATTGCAGCATGCATGTGATGGCTGGCATCAAGCTTGTAAGTTTCTAGATGAATTTCACTACGTTTTTCAAGACATCCTAAAAAGTCAATTTGGTAAGAAACTATGTTTTTCTTAAAGAGAAAGAATGCTTTCAAAATTACTACTTACAGCTATAGAACAAACCATATGTTTCTCCAACTGTTCTTTGGGATCACTACTGTCTAACTTGGAATCACTACTTCAGCATTTTCACAATTAGACAAATTACCATTAAAACAGAAGCAATGAGAGGTCTCTGCATGATGAGTCTGAGATGAACTTGTGTTGCATAAACGCAGTTAGGCTGCTGTGAGGTTTAGCAAGAATGGTAATGAGCAGTTAAGAGTCAGGAGGCTCCACCCTTCTTCCTTGCCTAAAAATCCTCGGGTGAAATCAAGTCATCCACAATACCTAATAATAATAAGCAGTGGTGCTAGGAAAATACTGACACTCACAACGTGGCAAAATCAAGTACAGCCTTTAAAATACATATACTTTCAGCAAAGCCAGCTGGCACCCTCTCTCCAAATGGTAAACTTTTTTCTATCTGCAATTCAACTCATGTAACTGCTTAGTTTATTTCCTTGTAAACTCCTCAGCTAAAATTTCTTGCAACCACAAACACTCAAATGCGTGACAGGGCTTAATCCTTTCCAACCACAAGGACCTTTGATCCTTGCGACAAAGCCCAAGGATCTCGCTCCCGCGGGCGGGGAGGTGCAGCTCACGTATGTAGGTTCAGGTGCAGGCACACAAGGGTCACAGCCGCCCATGACCGCGGAAGCCCAGGACCAAGGGACCAGCGCCGAGGCCACCCACGCAGGGGAGACCAGCTGCGGCCCAGGCCCTGAAGGCGGGTGCCTCCCGGCGAATGCCGCCCACCCCGTCCCCGCGCGGGTGCCGGAGCTCCCCCCACGCCCGCCCCAAGCACCCGCCCTTGTGGCTCACCTTTGATCACCTCCGCCACCAGGGCTGCCCCCGCGCCCTCCCGGCTCATGACTCCAAAGCATCTGGAAGGCGGGGCAGAGGCAAGGGCGGCCAGCCGCCTAGAGGGGAGGCGCTGCGACCACACCCCCGAAGTTTAAAAAACAAAGTTTAAAGGGCCGCGGCGGGCCGCGGGCGCAGCGACACCCCTCGGTGGCCCACCGGCGCGGCGCAGCAGCGCAACCCCGGAAGTCCCCAACTTCGGGAAACAGCCCGTGGGCGACGAGGGCGCGGGGAGGAAGAGCGCCCCCGCTCCGCCACCCGCCTTCCTTCCTCTGCGGGGGATGCGGGCGGCCAGTGCGCGCCAGGCCTCCTCCAGTGCCCAAACGCCCCGCAGAGGGGACGTGCGTCAGAGGCCAGCAGGCCTGCCGAAGGCAGCGTCTGGGAAAGCTCCTTAGCGATTAAAGGACTTCGAGCAGGAGAAGGGCTCGCCCCGGGCCGGGGACAGACCCGAGGGTGACGCCAGACGGGGCGGGAGCCTCCTGGCGCCTCCCTCGCCGCACTCCCGCTGCCGCCGCCAGGGGGTGCTGCAGCCGTGCCAGGCCGCACCCCCCCCCCCGCAACGCCCCCACCAACCGCGCACCCTCCCGGAGCCTGGTCCGCCGCACCCTTGCTCAGCTAAGACCCAAGTGCTCCCGCAGGGTCAGGTCTGATGGAAAACGGGCATCTTCAAAATTGTGCAAGGTTTCCTGAGATCAGCTGGCTCAGAAAAACCTTTTCTTTTAATTGTGCAAGATTTAAACGCAAGTCTCTGGTCATGCGTTCCTTTAAAGGGACGGTTTGGAATGGTTTAAAAACAAAAATGTCAGCCGGGCGCGGTGGCTCAAGCCTGTAATCCCAGCACTTTGGGAGGCTGAGGCGGGTGGATCATGAGGTCAAGAGATCGAGACCATCCTGGTCAACATGGTGAAACCCCGTCTCTACTAAAGATACAAAAAAAAAATTAGCTGGGCATGGTGGCGCGTGCCTGTAATCCCAGCTACTCAGGAGGCTGAGGCAGGAGAATTGCCTGAACCCAGGAGGCGGGGGTTGCGGTGAGCCGAGATCGCGCCATTGCACTCCAGCCTGGGTAACAAGAGCGAAACTCTGTCTCAAAAAAAAAAAAAAAAAAAAAAAAAAGTCGACACCCTTTTAAAGCAACCATTTAAAATTATTGTAGAGATAGAGAGCAGAAGGATGGTTATCTGAGGCTGGGAAAGGTAGTGTGGGGGTAATGGGCACAAAAAAACAATAAAAATGAGTAAAACCTAGCATTTCACAGCACAACAGGGAGTGGGTGACTACAGTCCACAATAACTTAATTGTACCTTTAAAAATTACTAAAAGAGTACCATCTGAGTGTTTTTAACACAAAGGATAAATGCTTGAGGGGATGGATACCCCATTTTCCGCGATGTGATTATTGTGCACTGCACTGCATGCCTGTATCAAAACATCTCATGCACCCCGTAAACACCTACTGTACCCACAAAAATTAAATATTAAATAAATTAAAATATATTCTAGACCTTTGTTTGTATTTTAATCTCAAGTGAAAAAAAAATGAATTCAGCATGAGCATGATCCCAATTGTTACAAATAATAAGGTGCTGGGATTGGGTTTCACTTTCATTCCCTCCTATATTTTCCCAACTTTTCTATAGAAAATTGTTACTTTATACATATTTTTGCCTCAAAAGTAAACTTGCATACCTCCTAATCTTATTCTACAATTCCAGATGGATCAAAGACTTTTTTAATCCTGTTTTTTTGTGTGTGTGTGTTTTTTTGTTTTGTTTTGTTTGAGACGGAGTTTCACTCTTGTTACCCAGGCTGGAGTGCAATGGCGCGATCTTGGCTCACCGCAACCTCCACCTCCTGGGTTCAGGCAATTCTCCAGCCTTAACCTCCTGGGTAGCTGGGATTACAGGCAGGCGCCACCATGCCCAGCTAATGTTTTATATTTTTAGTAGAGACGGGGTTTCACCATGTTGACCAGGATGGTCTCGATCCCTTGACCTCGTGATCCACCCGCCTCGGCCTCCCAAAGTGCTGGGATTACAGGCTTGAGCCACCGCGCCCGGCTGTAACTTTTTAAAATATGTATTTAAAACCATAAATTCTTTTTTTTAACTCTCCAACTGGGGAAGACCTTGCTGAATGATACAAAATCTAAAAGCCATAAACATATTTTTAAGCAGTTTTCATGGCAAAAACACACATAAACCAAATCAAGAGGCAAACTGGAAAAATATTTTAAATTCATCTTGAGAAGCTACCAACTTCAATTTTATGTTATCATAAAAGTAACAGAAATGGAAAGTTCCACTATAAGGTACTATTTTTTCCTCAGACTGGCAAAACTCAAGGGAGTTGGATAAGGTGCTGCTGTGTGGCGAGAGGTTGAGGGCATTCACATACGTTGCCTGTAGATAAGAATATGAACTGGGACCATCTCCATGGAGGCAACAAATGGGAATTTGGCAGAAATGTTTAAGACTGAAAACCAGCAGGGTGCGGTGGCTCATGCCTATAATCACAGCACTTTGGGGGGCCGAGGTGGGCGGATTACCTAAAGTCAGGAGTTCGAGACCAGCCTGGCCAACATGGTGAAACCCCACTTCTACTAAAAACACAAAAAAATTAGCTGGGTATGGTCATGCATGCCTGTAATCCCAGCTACTTGGGAGGCTGAGGCAGGAGAATCGCTTGAACCCAGGAGGTGGAGGTTGCAGTGAGACAAGATCATGCCATTGCACTCCAGCCTGGGCAACAAGAGCAAAATTCCGTCTCCAAAGAAAAAAAAGAAAAGAAAGGAAAACTGAAAACTAAAGACAGCCAAGATGGACTGTTAAGTACTACCACTTCTATGCGTGAGTTTAAGTTCTATATACACATGTAATATCACTGTAGATGAAATCACAGGTAGCAAATCTCTGGAAGCAGCCACAACAAACTGGTATCAATGCCCTGATCGTGGATGTCTAGAATAGGGAAGGGTAAGAGAGATTTATGCCTTTTCACAGCTTTTGCCTTGTACCACATATTACCTATTCAAAACTACACCGCTTTTAAAGTCAACTTGCAGGCTAACAGTGTTTTTGCAAAGCTGACTCTTGATCAAGATAGGAAGCATATAACAAGGACAGTATGAGGTAACCTGGAAAATATCCTTTGTGCACATTTAAACAAGGGAACTGGTTACTAACTTGTTTTGGTTTCTAATGTCTCTTGAAATTCCAGTTTATTCCCGCACCCCCTGTACAAAAAAAAAAAAAAAATTTAAACTAGAAAAGTAGCTAGATAGAAATGGGAAGAAATTTTCCCTTCCAGCCCAAACCTTAAGTTCAGTTCCCTAAGGAGTATTTTTTTTATTACAGGCAGGGAAAATCACTGATGCCAGTATTTTTTTGTTAGAGTAACACAGAAATAAAGTACTACAGAGACTACGATGCTGCGTTGAGGGCCATTTATTAGGAACCTGGAACCAGAAACAGGGCTTTGGGGGTGGGGAGGGCAGGGCGGGGCGGGGACGAACTCTTGCTTTGTCACCCAGGCTAGAGTACAGTGGTGCAATTTCAGCTCACTGCAACCTCCACCTCCCAGGCTCAAGCAATTCTCCTGCTTAGCCTCCCAAGTAGCTGGGATTACAGTCACATGCCACCACGTCCAGCTAATTTTTAGTAGAGATGGAGTTTCACCATGTTGGCC